TCAATTGAGGATAGCGAACGTATTCACGGGAAGTAGCACCAAGTGCTCTCATCAGTCGTTGGGACTACTGGCCCCGGCTGCTGGCCTAGGCTTGGTGGGGCTGTAAATAATCGATGAAGACGAAAATATTGATCGTCGTCATAGTGTCGGCGATCGAAGGCCGAGACCTTTACGCGCATGCCGTGATTAACATGAGGCTCAAGCGTATGAAAGGAGACATGCGTTAGCGGCCGCCCTGAAAACTGTGACAACAGAACGCCGCCGTCACTGGCGACGAAGCGCAGCACCGCTTTACGAGTTGAGTGCAGCCTCGACCTGTAGATGAATTTACAGTATGGCGAGTGCTGCATGAAACATTCCGCAATTTGAGAAAGACCGGTAATCACCCGCAAAGCAACATTGAGTATAGTTGCAATACTGTTTATCATTCAGTCCAATTTCAATTATTTTCAGTCACACTAGGATGCCGACTCTGTGGTGAGCGTCGTTTTGACCGCTGCGAAAAAGCCGATTCTGCAAAAAACTGGCTACTTAAATTGTATGCATGTTTATCATTGATTTTGACTGCCTTCATAAATTCAAATATATTTTATGGAAAGCATGCACGAAAAAAATACTCTCTTGTACTTATTTTATAACAAATTACAACTACTTTAAATTGTGTTCTTAAAGGAAGGGTTTTCTTCGGTTTTAAAAAAAGTTTCTAAATTTCCGAATGATTTTGAAAGCTACCGACTGCTAGAAATGAATTTAAGTTTTATAGTCTGAATGCTGTGTTCATCCTGTTTAAGGAAAAGTGGGTTGTTGCCTATGGTTTGAGGAAGTGGTTGCATTGTTCTCATAGAATTTCGCAATAGGCATGGATCATGCTGTATATATCAGCGGCAGCACTAATAAATTGACGGATACGATGTATTAAGAATGAACACCGCACAGTCGTAAAAAACTCAAAAAAATAATTTTTTAAAAACCGAAGGATACCCTTTGTTAAAGTATACAATATATTTGAATTTATAAAGGCAGTCAAAATTAATGATAAAATGCATACTATTTAAGTAGCCAGTTTTTGCAGAATCAACTTTTCGCAGCGGTCAAAAAGACGCTCATCACAGAGTCGGCACCCTTGCGTGACTGAAAATAATTGAAGTTGAACTGCATGATAAACAGCATTGCAACCCTACTTAATGTAGCTCTGCGGGTGATTACCGGTCTTTTTCAAATTGCGGAATGGTTCATGCAGCACTCGCCATACTGTATTTATGGTGAAGCAGACTTCGACGGTCTCTACCTCTCGCTTGTCCTGCATTCACTGACCTCCGATGACAGAACAGAATCAACACAGCCGAATGCGGCCATGGATCTCGTGGCTAACGAAGGTGGATCGAAAGTCTACGTATGTTACACACACAAGCTGGCCCCTAACTCCACGTGTGAGAAAGAGTGGCATACTGGTGGTATTGGTAAGCGGTCACGTGCAACATGAACTCCAGTCCTGGGCGGGGCGAATCATCCCTTCCAGTGATACTCTTCTAAGCCTAGACTGTTAGTGTATCGCTATAGTTGGACTGTTTGTGGCCATTAAGCCCTGGCCTGTCTTTGTTTAGATGACTGGAAATGAGATCGGCCAATTCGTTGAATACTTCTACCTCTATCGTGAGTTGCATAACCGCAAAGACGACATTCAAATGTTCTTTGAAGGTCAACACCTGATCTCGTTCGATATCTAAAGTGGTGAGACTCACTTAGCGAGCAAAGAATTTCGGTTTTCGTTGTTGAAAGATAAACAATTCCAACTGTTGCATGACTGCCTCGACTATGAGTCCCGAAATCGAGCAAGTCCTTGGCGTGTCTCTTGCCTACCTATAGATTAGTTTGGTAAACGTGAAGTATGGTTGAAGACAGAACGCTAGTAGTTAGGGGAATTGAACGCCTTTGTGATATTATACCCATTCATTGTGTTCGTTCCCTGGAGTTAGTAGATGGCCTCGATGACGGACGTATAGAGAAACGTGACATCCAAAGATACCACTACCTGCTCACCAGGCAATTTATACTCTTAAGTTCATTTAAGATTTTTGCTGAAATCCTGGATGTTTTGTATATCAGTTGGTAGGAATATAAATTGTCAAAATTGCAACTCTGCCATTCCAGACGAATACATGCTACTCGAACTGAGTTAGGAGAACGACGAGCATCTACAATGCGAACGTAACCGATGGAAATACTGGCCCTGCCTCTTGTTAGATATCCGCTGTACAGGCACTTATGAACCCATTTCACGCGGTCCATAAACCTTGGTAGACGTATATCTGACTAAGGAAGATAAACGGCCACCAATAGCATTGTAGGAAAGCGGCCGGGAATCCCACTTAACGCACTCTGATCTGTAGTAGCTTTAAACTGCTATATGGATCCCCAACTGAAAACAGAACACATGGAAAAATAATCTATTTGCCCACCTTAATGCAACTAGAGTGGCTGAAGTTATGAATATAACTAAAATTCAAATTCAAATGTGGAACTGAATCAGAAATAAGGATGACCATGGTGCTGATATTCAGAAGCTGGGAGGGAAGGAATTAAATTCTATGCATAGAAATATTTTTTCCCGCAAAAATTAAAACGTCGTGCATGGGTTTTTACAAAAACATCTGGTGGAAGCATGATCTACGTTACGTAATTACTTAGCATACTGAGAGCACAAGTATTAGCTTAAAGCCGTGCTATCGGACTAGTAAGTACTAAGTTTTATACTGTTGGGTGCCTGTTGGTAATTTGTGAATTTTACGCGGTTATCTCCCAGTAGCTGATGGATTTCAGTTCACATATTAATGCCATGTTTCGTGCCGAGTCTGAAAAGATCTGTTCCAAATGATTTACTATGAGTTCGCGCATTACTATTCACCGAAATTAAACAAGGCATTTGAATGCAGGAAAGAAAAAGGTGGGAAAGAATGGTAACACAAATCAACGTGTGAGTAAATCTAGGCCCGAAATTCCCAGGGCATTTGGAGATGTACCACGCGGTCTAACAAGACATTATTTACATTCTTGGTCTTCTTCAGTATTTCGAGAAGGTACTTGCGGTTTGCCCATTAGGTGGACTGGCTAGAAGGACGAGAATTCAGATGATCGGTGTTCATTTGTGCAGCGTGGATATTTTGATGGTCAGTGTTGAATCTGTTCACAACTTCACGTTGGCCAGGATGTGCGCCCAACTAAGCCATTAGACTAAACGACTTACACGTAGAGTTGATCAGCAAAGATCACAATATTCATGGGGTGAAAAATGCATATTAACCTCTGTAAGAGATGAGGTTGCAGCTGCACCGAAAACACACATTTGCCCATCAGCATAAAGTCGATTTCCACTTTATCGTTCTCACTGTACGAAATATTCTGTGATCGTGAATTCTTGAGGTGCTTATTGAAAATGACGACCAACACATTTGAATGAGCTTGCACTCGGAAATACTGTTTTCTTCTACCCGAATAGACAAATTTTCTTCTCAATCCTTCTCTTTTACCCTCTGATCTCACACAGTCGCTGAACTAGATCAATGGGATGATGCCTCTCTTGAACAAAGTAGATCCGGAGCCTTCCAACATCTGACTTGAACAAAAGATCGTCCAATAATCCGAAGACCATTGCACTCCATGGTAGTCACGTAGTGTTAGGATTGGACAGTATGCAC